TTATACAAAATCTCAATTTTAATTTTATTTATTCACTTTCAATTATTAAGATATATCATGATTTTTTTCTTTTTCATTTAATAAATAATAATAAATTTCAACTATTAGATATTTATGAGATGAATGATTAAAATTTTATAAAAGTATCATATATAGGATTTGGTACATCTGGGTTTGTTGACAAGTTAATGTGCAATAAATACATCATTTTTCATGTAATTTACATAGAAAATATTAAAGTTGATATTTATTTTAACACTATTGTTACATAAATATTTTTAATTAGCTAATTGATTAAAATAAAGTCAACTTTTATGTATTTTATACAAATTAATTATAAAAATATATAATAAATATAATTTTAACCTTATCCCAGGGGTGTATATTAGACATATTGTATATATATAAAGAGACAAGTGTTTTGTAGAAATTTTTTTGGAAGGTATTTTAAAAATATTATATTTTAATTAATATTTTTTAAAATCAATTGTTAGATTAAATGTTCTATTAATATAAAATATTCATATCTATTTTTAAATTGATTTAATATACTTAATTAGTTTGTTGCTTACAAAAAAGAGAAAAGTAAAAATAGAACATCTTAACTCTTTAAATGTTAAAACTTTCAGTAAAATTATTTAAATACTCTTAATAAATATTTTTTGTATAGTAATTTATTAAGGACAATTTGATATTTTCATTCTTGTTCTTGGCATTTTAATTATCAAGACGTTTTAATTTTCTTTCAATCCCTGTAAAAAGTTTAATATAGTTAAATATATATTAGTAAATAGAATTTATTTGATGGAATAGTTTTAAATATTAAATTAATTTAAAATTTTAACATGTATAATTTATATAAATAAAATATTTAATTCCACTATTAATTTTTAAAAATATTAATTAAAATATAAAATTTTAAGTAAGTCCTCTAAAAAAAATTGGGCAAATGATTAGATTTACACTATCCTCTATTTATATTGTGTGAAATAATCACTAATTTTTTGAATTAATAAATGTTTAAAGTTGTTACAAACAAAAACTTGGTTAAATTTATATTCACTAATATAAAAATTTTAATTCAGAGGTTAAGATTAAAAATTTAAAATTTTATATTACTAAATAACCAACTCTCTACATTTCAAAACATATCTTTAAAGTTGATCTCAAAATCAGAATTAAAATATAGTTTTAAAGTTTTTATCAGCAAAATAAGAATGTTACTCAAAATAGGACAAACAGTACCACGTTCACATAAGACGACACTATTTTTTTTTTCACTGTTAGAGTATTTTAATTCAGTTTTTTAGTATTTTATAATTAATTAAAAAAATAAGTTTAAGAACTAATTTCCTTAATTATTATATAAATTAAAGTTAACTTAAAATTAGCCAATAAAAAATAAACACTCATACATTGACCTCAAATTTCGAATTAATTTGATAAATTTTAATTGTAATTTAAAATAAACCAAAAACAAATAAATAAATACTCTATCCATTCATTTTTAATAAATCTAGTTTTTCATTTGAGACATTCAAATTTAGACTTTATTTGAAAACACTTTTTGGTGTTTTAGTTTTTTATTTTTATGTCTTTTATTTATTTTAAAAATATATAAAATACTAATTAATATAAATATTAACTATATTAAATATATTTTATTTTTTTAGATGTTAAGGGAAAACAAAATTAATAGTTGTAGTTACATTCTAGCTTTATCAAATTAAACCTTAGTCATTCACTTTTCTTTTTAATAATATTATTTAATTCATTTATTCTTATTTTATCATTATTTAAAAAAATATAATTACAATATATATTAAATAAAAATTTTTATTTAAATAATATTTATGTAAAAAT